CTAAACTTTTTATCTAAGCTAGCAAGAAGCCAGAGTGCATTTTTACCAGCAGTTGCCGGAGAGCCCTCTAAGCATCTAGACAGTAAACAATAATAAAATCTCTCTGATGGTAGGAGTGAAGTAAAACGTGTTAGTAGCATGTTATCACACTTACAAAGGGAAAACTATAATTGTCTAAAGGAAAACACTAACAGCAGGGATAATAAGAAGTCAGTCTCTCATACTCCTTTGCAGGCTTATTCAGTCAAAGCTGTAACCATAGCGTTTACCCGTGGATTTTGCTCCAGGAATTTCTCCTCACTGTATTGACAGGAGATCTGATACTTCCTCTGATTACACTGCTGATGTACTGGAGTCAGATTGCATGGCAATCAACTCAGTTATAAGTTAGAGGTAAGCAGCAGGCAAAAGGTTGGGGCTTGGCATCAGACATAACTGTCTGAGAAGATGATAGGCAAACCAGTTATCAGAGGGAATATCTTAGTCTGGAAGGCAGTTTAGAACCCAGGGAAACAGTAATTGCTAGTCATGATCCCAATAAACAGTGATGTAGAAAACAAAGGAAGGCTTCCCCCTACATTTGAGTTTGGGGGCTCACAAAGCACTGATTTCTTAGCCAGTCTTGGTAGTAATGAAGTTGGTATCTGGGAAGTTTGGGAGAAAAAGCTATGTTTCAAGGGCTGGGAGAGAAGAATGGATTGAGCATGATCTAGTGAAACATTCTATAAGGGTAAGTTGGGTCTCTGTAGCAAAATAGCATCACAGCAGTTCTCCAGAAGGCTGGAGCCCAGGAAAGCAAGTGTGCCCCTCAAGTCCTAACTGTCCAAGAAACTCTGGTGGAAGTGTTCCAGCATCAGGGTCACAATGGGTAGCAGTTACTGCTTGGCTCTACTAACGTTCAGGTGTGGCACCTCCCCAAAAAAACTTGTGGAAGAATCTTGGGTTGTCTCAAGACTAACATAATTAAAGAACAGTGCTTTAACGTACACAGTGGCCCTGAGAATGCTAAAGAGCCCATCTCTAGGATCCCTAGGACTGATGAATGTCATAGCAGACACTGTCATAAGAGGGAGTTCTGTTTATAATTATTAGAAAATAATCCCACTTGTATTTTTACATGCAAGGTATTTTTAAGTATCATGACTATATCAATGTAAAACTGTACAAACTATATACAACTCACTAACTTTTGTGAGCGCATCTGAAAGAGTGAGTTCTTTAAAATTATATTAACCAACAATTTCATGTTTGGTTTACCAACATCACATACCCAGATCGATTTATATTTTAAGTTATTTCATTCATGGATCTTTTATGAAAAATTAAAACAAAATTCTTGCTTATCTTTTTGACATATGTTATAATTTCTCCTTGGATGTTACATACTTGATTAAATAATATTTTGGAGATATATTATTTTAACTTTGGCTTTCTATTAAATTTCAATCATTCTATGTATAATTATATTGCAGTAATCATGAATTTCAGTTAAGAATAATGGAAGGAATGCACGAAGCATGTGCTCTTAGGATAGCTGGCAGAGCTGGGTAGATGTGCAGCCCATCGTTCCCAACACAACCTCATCTCCTAAGTTTGCTGAGCCAATGGTGGCTGAGGTTACCTCTGTAGCTCAGAAATACCCAAACGAAAGTACACATTTTATGTAGCATGGCTCTGTGAATCACAAACCTATTTCAAGCATCTCAAGTTTATGCCTCTCTGATCTGCCAACCTGCTCACCTCCATAGACACCACCTCTTGATCTAATGGAGAGCTATCCCAAATAAGCCAAAGTTGACCTTATGTTTCGACTTCCATATTTCAGCTCCAACAGTTTGAGCCCTAACTTGATGTATACTTTTTTTCTATAAGGCACAAAGCCATTGCACAGAAATCCCCAAACTAGTACAGATGTAGAGGCTGATATTGCAATATATGTGCCAAGGAGTGAGAATCACTGTTCCTGTTATGAAGCTCTCTGAAGAGAGCAGGGGTTCTGGTGTTTAAAGAAGGGAGGGACGGGTGGCTTTGTCTTGTCTCGTGGTTGGTTAGCATGGCTGAGAGGAGGTCTCTGTGTGGACTGAGGTTGACGGTGTGTGAAGCAGTGCAGAGAGAGGGCACCAGAACTGAGACAAGTTCCTGCATGGCTTTAAGACTGCCAGAAGTCAAAGAGAAAGCAGATTCTCAGGTCATAGAGTCTTTTCTATTTTAGATAAGCACTCTGCTCCTGTGCTATAGTCAAGCACAGGAGTCAAAAAATGAGGATAATTTGTGAAAATCAGTTTTAGGAAAACACAAAACAAGAGTCACTAACACCTATGAATCAATAAGTGTGTGTGTGTGTGTGTGTGTGTGTGTGTGTGTGTGTGTGTGTGTGTATGTGCATGTGTGCTTTAAAATTAAGATACTTAGAAAAAGAAAAATAGGATTAGGGGGCTTTATAAATCATGTAATAAGAAATATGAATAAAAGGTGTGATCCATACTAAGAATTACAATATTGACAGTCTGTTTTTAAATTGGCATAAAATATTGAGTTTTATCTTGACATTTCAGACATACTTTGATGTTTTCCTCATCTCTTGCTGCCCTCGGCATCACCCTTCTTCCTTCTCTTTCTCCAGTAGCCTCCCTTCTTCATCATTCATGGCACATGCATTCCCTCTATGCTCTACTCAGAGTATCCTCTTCCTCTCTCATGGCCTCCTTCAGCTAATGATGTGCACTGACACTCGTGTGTGTGTGTGTGTGTGTGTGTGTGTGTGTGTGTGTGTGTGTGTGTGTGAGAGAGAGAGAGAGAGAGAGAGAGAGAGAGAGAGAGAGAGAGAGAGAGAGAGAAAGAGAGAGAGAGAGAGAGAGAGAGAGAGAGAGAGAGAGAGAGAGAGAGAGAGAGAGAGAATGGGGAGGGGAGGAGAGAAAGGGAGAGAGAGAGAATATCTATAGTCATACATAAAAGAAGTCCTATTTGTCTTTCTAAGTTAGGCTTATTTCACTTAACATAATTATTTTTATTTCCATGAATTTTTCTGAAAATGCCATGATTTCACTTTTCTTTGTGGCTAAATAAAATCCCATTGTGTATTGTGGCACATTTTAGTTACCAACTGTGTATTTATGGCAAATTTTAAGTACCCATTGTGTATTTGTGGCACACTTTAATTACCTATTGTGTATTTGTGGCACACTTTAGTTATTGATTGTGTATTGTGGCACACTTTAAGTACCCATCATGTATTTATGGCACACTTCAATTACCCATCCATCTGTTGATGATCACCTATGCAGCAACAAGCAGATCACAACTAATTTGAAGCAACTCTCTTGAGGGAAGTGTAACTCTTGAAGCATAAGTCTGATAATTCAAAGACAATGAACACTAACATTATAAGGTAGCTGTAGATACTTAGCATTTTATTAATAATGGTTAAAACCCTTACAATAATAAAGTATTTTTAAAATTAAAAAGAATGCCACAATGCTAAAAAGGGAGAAAGCAGGCATTCCATAATTTAGAATTTTATGTACTTTGCTTTTCTGGATTTTATTTCCTGTGTTTTTTTTCTGTTGTTTGGGTTGGTTATGGCCTCATGGCAACACATGGAATAATGGAGAGTTGGAAAAGGGTTCAGATGCTCTGGAAACTGACGATGATTCACAAAATCCCTTCTTCACTTTACTCGCAGTCATCACGGCACACGGGTGATTTTACTCATGACAAACTAGCACACTCCTCTGGTTTGATGGAACCTTTCATCCTTTTATTTCTTTTGCCCTAGGTTGACAGTTTGAAGAATTTAATTTTAAATCTTTAGAAAACTAGTAAGAGCTGACTCACCATGTGACTGGTGTATCAAAGTCTTCTCAGAGGTTTTCAGAGAGTTTACTTTTCAGTTGGAAAAAAACACAATGCTGACATCAGAGAGCTAGATAAATTACACAAAATCTTTATAAATGTGAAAACGTAAGAGGAGAGAGGCAAGGAGAGATGGAAAGAGGGAGGGAAGAAGTAACAGTAGAGATAAAGCTCTAAATTACAAACCCCCAGAACTTGATGGCTTTTCTCCTTTGACTGATCTTATATCCTGTGTTAATCTATTCTTAAACATGTAGTATACAAATCTTTCAGATTTCAATTTGTGTATTTGGCTTCTTTGGGAGATGTGTATTAATTCTGATAAAAAAAATGTCTGTTTGCATTGTATCATTATTCCTTACACTTGAGCCTTAAGTAAGCAGGACTCCCCGGTGAATGAGGGAAATACACACAGGATAAATAGTGCACATTGGCACATACCTATAATCCCAGTCCTGGGGAGACTAAGTGGAGGAGATAGTGAATTCAAGACTAGCCTTGGTTCTTTAGGGATATGACCACTGGTAGTTGCCTAGTAACAGGGCCTGGTCCCATTCCCATGCACACACTGGCCTCAATGGATTGAAAGAACAGAAAGGCTGGGGTAAGAAAAGTGATGAGAGTATATGGAAGAAGTTGAAAGGGAGGGAATAGGGGATGTATTTGATCAAAATACATTGTTTAATTGTTTGAAAATTTCCAACAGTAAATGAAAACTGAAATTTAAAAAATAGTAATATCAATCAAAGAATGCATGGAAATGAACAATTTCATATCTACAGCTCTTATGGCACAATATGAATCTGGAAACTTTCCTTGTTGCATGTTACTTTTAACATTCAAGAATTTCACAAACTGTAGGAAATTTTGAAACGTTCTTATATTATTTTCTTCATGGCTTTGAGAGATTAAAAATGAAATATAGATATATATTTATGATGTTCTCATCTTGTATATCATATGTGAATATAAATTTAGGTAATAAGAATTATTTTAGTACTCTACAAAGTATGTTACCTATGCCTTCTTTCATAAATTTGATTGCTGAATAAAAAGGGAGATCAAGAATTTTGAATAAAATATAGTCAGGGATGAATTGACCTTGTGCACTGAATAATTTTAAAGTGTATGTCTTTTGGTCTTTGCAGAAAGTGTGGATTATGGGCCAGTATTTGTGCAAGAACCTGAAGATGTCATTTTTCCAACTGACTCTGATGAAAAGAAGGTCGCCCTGAATTGTGAAGTTCGTGGCAACCCTACTCCTACTTACAGGTAAAAATTAATTATGCATTGTTTTTTCTTTAGCCTTAAACAATTCCTCAAGCAAGGAAGAGGCAGGGGGCATCTCTGAGTTCAAGTTCAATCAGGACTATATAGTGAGACCCTGCCATACATATGTGTGTGTGTGTGTGTGTGTGTGTGTGTGTGTGTGTGTGTGTGTGTGCACGCACACGTTGTGCACTCCCAAGAAGTATCATAATGTCTCACATAATTTAATGAATTTGTCTTCTGATATTTTTCTAAGATGGCTCCGGAATGGAACAGAAATCGATCTGGAAAGTGATTATCGCTACAGTTTGATAGATGGAACCTTCATCATAAGCAATCCAAGTGAAGTTAGGGATTCCGGGCTTTACCAGTGTTTAGCCACCAATACTTTTGGAAGTATTCTCAGTCGAGAAGCCACACTTCAGTTTGCCTGTGAGTAAAGTAAGATTATTTTGGCTATAGTGTATATGCACAAATTTAAACTTTCAGTTATAAAGCTTATGAGTGAATTTTAAAATAGTGTTATACTATAGTCTGAATTAAAACTAGAAAAACATCAGATTTCTTCTGAGGATATCTTCACATTCCCTGGAATACTTGCTAGATCCCAAATAAACTCAATTACCTATTCTTGTGCATTAAAAACTCATTCATGAAAGTAGATGGTTTTAGAAGGTGTCCTTTACCTGCTTGGCTCCTTCTTCTATGCTTCATAATTGCTATTTCCTAAGGCTAGCAAAGCATATAATAGCACATTTCAGAAGTTCTGCATGTTTCAGAAACTAAATATACAGATGGTGACTGTAACTCCCATAGTGATTTTGATTAAATGAAACTGTCTCACACACACACACACACACACACACACACACACACACACACACACACACACGCAGGCTCATGCACACATGCACACACACACACACACACAAGCTCATGCAGCCAACATGTCACTGTATTTTGGTCATTGGCATTACGTACATGACTGGTCTTCTGTAAGTTTACATTGCCTGGAAAGCCGCAGCTGTCTTGGTTGGCACAATTACACCTCATGATATTTGCACAATGACAAGATCACCCAGTGCCGCCTTTTACTGAATATAACCCATTAGAAAGGGAGACATTATCTTATAGACACTCTAATATAAATATACCTAAAGTACATCAAAGATATAATTAACCAGATGCATAGATCCTTTAAAAATTTGGGAAAGTCCTTCCTTGATGGAGAAGCTTACACCAAATGGAGAATAGTCTACCATGTGAAAAGTTTAATATTATTTGATATTAAGTAATCCTATTTGAATTTAAATTCTTGAGGATTACAATCAGGAAAAATTGAAAGGGGGGGATGAGGAATCCTTGAATTAATACATATAACTATATTCATCATGTAAGTTATCACAATGATTTTTAAGTTAATTTAAACTCTGAGGAATGAAGTAGGTAATTGATTTTGCTTCATAGCATCTTCCTTGTGTCATTTCTAAAATTAACTTGAGATCCAGACACCCTCTTATCAAAGTGAGAAGAGGAAAGAGAATGAAGAGCTGGAAATAGAATCGATTTGAAGAAGTCTGAGTGAGGTCCTAGAAAAATCAAAATTCTATTTTTTTAACATTGCTTTGGCCAATTTCAGAAAGATGTATTTAGAATTCAAAAAAGAGTAGCCTGATTCCATTATTTTTATTTTATAGAATCATTTGTGGCAAATCATAGACTCTTAATAGGGTTTTTTATTCACAATATCAAAATAGCTCAGGAAATCAAATGTGCAACCCCCCCTTCCACCCTTCTATTGAGTAGAATCGTTATTTTCAAAGAGATACGGCATTTCACTTTATTATTGTATCTCCAATTTGAATTTTAGTATTTCTTGGAGACTTAAAACTGCATTATAATCTAAATAATCTTCATATTCTGACCTTATCAACTGTGGCAATGTGATTTATTTTCACAAATATATGAGTTAGCAAAAGTAAATTGTAGTAAGAAAATTAAGTATAGAAATCACTACATTCTATATTTCTTCTCATTATTCAAAGTAAAGAACTATTTAACTTTCCTTGTGGATATTTAAGAACCATCAGGGCTTAGGGAATCTTTGTCATAATAATAGTGGTCCTTACTGGTTTGTCCACAGTTAGGATCCAGAAAGCTAAATGTTCCATGTGAGTCTGAGATCAGACAAAGAGAGAACTTTCTATTATCAAACGCTGACATCACCACCTCAGGCTCTGGCTTTTGAAGACAAAAGTCGGTGAAGACATAAATATTGGTACTGTTTACCATCAATAAAAAAGAAAGGAAGAGAGGAAGGAAGGAAGAGAGGAAGGAAGGAAGGAAGGAAGGAAGGAAGGAAGGAAAAAGCTATATTTATTGTGTTTAAAATTAAGCAAGTATAAAACAAATTTAAATTCTCCAGAAGTTTTCTTCCTATTCACTTGCCAATAACATGTTTATACAATAATTGCTCCAATTTGTTTTATTGGCATGTTTATTCTGAAGATCTTAAAAATGTGACTTTTTGACTTGAGATATATGAGTTCTGATCAAAAAGCAAGGGATACACATGAAAATCCTCATGAAACACACTGCACATCAGATAGAGATTAGCATATTCCAGAAAGTCTCTTAATCATTGTGGTTAAAGCAAATACTTCCCTGAGATTCCTAGAGGCCAAAGCAGAGGAAGAGAGAAATTAAAGGTTCTACTTCAAAAAAAAACCAGTTTTTTTCTTGACAAATTCTCATATTTCTCATCTGAAGCTTGTATTGCAATTTCAGCAACATCCCCACATGAATCACCAGCAAATTTAATTAGCCTGACATAAAGCCTAATCTATTCTCTAAAGGTAGTCATGAAATAATTCATTTAATTTACTGATATATCTATATACAGAGCTATAATTAGAATATATATTCTAATTCTGAGTAGCAGCTAATGGATTTGGGTGGCTAACTCAAAAGAGATTCTTTATTTCCTCCTATCCTGCCCTGCATAGGCACGTTTTAACTGTCTACTCATGAAAATTTTCACATTAAGTTCTCCCCAATGGAATAGCTACAAACATGTTTCAACCCAGTTAATGTTAATACTTTAGTTTAGCATTAATAAATATCTAGGTCACAGGGGTATAGTAAAAATTAATGGAGTGAAAAAATTACATTTGTGATCTTGTTTTCAAGTTCAGGAAGGGGGTCATAAATAAACACAAAGCTGATGTGTTCTTGCTGATAGTGAATGTTAGTGGTTATCAAGATTATTCTTGACAAAAATATATTATCTTCCAGGAATTTACGTTCATCATGAGGGTAATTTCTTTACATAGTGGGGTGATCTCTCTTCAGTGACAAGTGAGAACATACCATATCAAACATTGTCACTCTGTTAGCTTATTGCCACCCTGATGAGAATTTGAAATGGATAACGTGACACAGTACACTTTTCAATATCCTTACCCCCTAAGCTCATTGCAATCTCTCCAATGTTGGTAATTTTTTTCTTTTTAGAAATAATTCATGCCAGCAAGTCAAACAGAAAATGAATCAAGAATAAAATCTCCTCGCGCTGTCTCTTGCTTCAGAATATATCTTTATATGCAATCCTCAGTAAATTGATAGTTCATATCTAAATTTGAACATATTGCTTTTCAGGGCATTTAGATGATTTAGATCCAGAGTATTCCATTAGTTTTCCTTGAAGCAGTTGATTAAAATAACCTCCTTAACTTTTGAGAGATTTTATGACTTGTAGACTTTATATTTAAGCCCTTTAATTTAACCTTTCATTTTCATACGAAACTCAAAAATTACTTCTCTGCATTTTTCATAACTTTTTCTTCTAAAATAAAATTGACCTTAGACTTTAAAACCATATTTTACTAGTTTTAAACATATAATGAAATTATTTGAATAATCATTTACTCTACAATATAGCTCAAGCTTATTGCTTTAGTCTATGAGGCTTTGCCCATAATAACTTTGTTAATTTATTTTAATATTAATGTGAATGAAGAAGCGAAATTAGCCTGAATGAGTTAAATAAAAATATTAGATTTTTGTTACAAAATAAATTAAGGTATTTTTTTCATTGTACCTGTCAAATTCAAAACAACTGAGTATTTTGTTTTGTTTTGTTCTATGAGACAGTCTTATGTAGCTCAGGCTAGCCTTGAATTGAGCTATGTAGCCGATAATGAACTTGAACTTTCAATTTTTCTGCCTCCACCTCCCTAGTGTTGGGATTACAGGCCTATTCCACCATTACTGACTACATAATTCTAAAAAACTAAAATAAATTTCTGCTTATTGTTTAAAGATAGCTTAACTGTTTTTTTTTTTTTTTTAAGGATAATTCTTTTGCTATGACTGACACAGCACTGTGACGGTGATTTAAGGAAAAGTAGTTAGACATGGGTAAAAAATCAGTGATAAAGATTAAAGAAATCTTAAATCTGGTACAGGAGTTTCACATTCTTAATTCTATTACACGAAATCCACACTACAATTGTTTCACTTATTAATATTAACCCAACAGTTACTTTTAATATTTGTGGCAATTGCTAATATCTCTGACCCAGACTGACTGCCAGTGACATGGCTTGATTGTCTGGCTTGGCACAGTTCAAGGACACCTGCCCAGGGATGGCACTGCCCATATCTCCCAACTAGAAAATGGGCCAGAGAGTCTCCTACAATGAATCTGATGGAGACATTTTCTCAGTGGGGGTTCCTCTTCCCATTTGACTCTAGATGTGTCAAGATGAGACAATCGAACCAGAAGAGAGTAAAATACAATCCTGCTGTGTTTCCCGGTATGGACTTCTGATGTCTTGCCATACCTGCATGTTCTCTCTTTCTCTCCCTATATTATATTTATTTCTTATTATATTGCATGGCAGCTATTTTGACAATGCCTCAAGGCATTAACTATACTAGGCAATGAGCACACTATGCATCTCATGCCTCATCCATTCTTTTAAGTTAATTTTCAGTTTACTGGTCAACCTCTGTCATGTGAGCTCATCATCAACCTTTCAAAACCGACCATGAGTGATTGAACGCAATACCTCCAATGGCTTAATTACTACCCACCTAAAGCATTTGCACTGAGTCCTGAAAGAAGATTGCTTCCTTAGGAGGTACATGAAAACCCACCTCTAATAATTACAAGAATGAAATAGAAATAGGACAGTATATGTCAAAATATTTTAAGTCTCATGAACATGACAGTTGGTGATATTACTTCATTTAAGAGCAATAGGGACCAGAGAGAAGGCTCAGTGGGTAAGTGAACTTACTACCAAACCTGAGAGTTTTTCATTCATGAGACCCACAAGATGGAAGGAAAGAACTGATTCCAGCAAGTTGTCCTCTGATGTCTATGTGCATGCTCTGGCTTGCCTTCATGCCCTCATATGCACACATGT